TCCACCTATGAACCAGGAGGTCATTGCTGGATTCCTGGTCAAAGAATATACCCAGCTTGTGGGTTCAATTCCTACTGTTGGGCATGTAGGAGGCAGTTGATCATTTTCTCTCATCATTGATGTTTCTATCTTTTTCTCTATCTCCCTCTAAAAAATCAATGAAATATATTTTTAAAAAACTCAGATTACACAAAGTTGCTGAGTTTTAATGAACTTAAGTTATACTTTAATAGAGCTAACTTTTTAAAAATAATTTTTTTATAGAAAACTAGTATAATATGCAACCTTTTGTGTAAAGAAAGTGGAAAGGGGAACATACACACATACATATGATTATCTTCAAAAGTAAACACTAAAAGAATAAATCATAAAGTGAATAAAAATGATTACCCATAAAGGACTAATAGCAGAGAAGATATATGGATGGCAGTGAGACATATTTGAATATAATTGGTTATAGTTTTCACTTTGAAGTCATGTATGTTTTACATATTCAAAGTTAAATCAAAAAGCACAAAACTAGTGTCCCTCATACGTCCTACTGCTTGTGTGGTAATGGAACACTAATGCTCCCTATGTCCCATTTCATTAAAATGAACCCAGACTATAAACTTGACCTGGCCAAGTCATTTTTCTTCAACAGTAATAAAGTTCCCCTGCTATATTTGTGTTTTTCTTCAACATATCTGAAAGCTACCATCTGTGGCTAATAAGAACAAAACACTATCACAGATTGTTTTAATTTCCTGCCTGTTATCAGCAACAAGAAGGTAACCCTGGAAACAAGGATTTATGGTATTTTATTTCCTACTGTAGGTTATAACCAATAAAGGAAACCAAAGTAGCCTCCAAGACATGGAACAGACTGATGAGTCTCCAAGGGAAGGTGGGTGGGGGAGTGGGGAGATAAACCAAAGAACTGATATGCATATTACCACCCATGGACATAGACAAGAGTGTGTTGAAGTTCTGGGGTGGGGGGGCAGGGGATGTGGAGGGGGTCAATGGTGAAATAAAAGGGGACATCTGTAATACTTCCAACAATAAAGATAATTTTTTTAAAAAGACATGGAAAGACTGACAAGCTGTCACAGATTAGAGGAATCTAAATGCAACTAAAAATCTAATATCCTAAAAAACTGTAGTTTAGGCAATAGTATTTATACCAATATTCATTTCTTAAGTGTTGCTAACATTTCAGGAAGCTGGGAAAGGGTATACAGAAACTCTCTGTACTGTCGCTGTTATTATGCTCTATGTCTAAAATTATCTCATCGAGGAGCAGAGCAGAGCTGTCCAACCGGACAGCCCTGGCCCCAGGGCCATCTATGGCTGTGTTTTCACAGCTATGCTGTTTCAAAATTGAGCTGTTTTGTACTGACTAAAGTTTCCTTCTTTACCACACACCCCCAAAAATAAAAATAATCAAATAAATAAAGTTATTTCAAAATAAAAACTTTTCAAAAAGGCAATAGTTATGAACTAAAATGTACGGACAATGGAGCACTACTCAGAATAACTTCCAGTACATGTACTAACATGGTTGAATCTTCCACCAAGGGAAAGAAGCCACATGCACACACGCAGAACTATGTATGAGGTTCTAGGAAAGGCAGACGCCGTGTTGGCAAGCAGACAGGTGGTTTACCAGGGACCAGAAAGGTGGGGCAGAGGATCGGCTACAAAAGAGTAAAAGGAAACTTTTTGGGGGGATGATGCAATCTATACCTTTTCCACACTGGCGGCTATACAACTGTATGTATTTGTCAAAACTCAGATTAGCCCTGGCCGGGTTGGCTCAGTAGATGGAGCGTCGGCCTACAGACTGAAGGGTCCCGGGTTCGATCACAGTCAAGGGCATGT